GTTCAGAAAATAGGTGGATATATGGATGTAAAAAACATGTAATCAAAAATGTAGACAAAGCAAATGTCTGTCTGTGATAGTGTTGAATGGTAAGTACCTTCTTCATAAAATATAGATTTATAAGTAACGATTGTTCACTATCCTTGACAAATAGCATCCATTTCTTTAGAGGAAATCAGTCCAAATATAGAGGTTTATGGTCTCTATACAACTGATGAATGAAATATACTGAGAAAAACATTTCTATTGGATAAATACCATGATTAAGTGTACTGTACTTCTGGGAAAATGGAAAGGAAAAAGTAAACAAGCCACATTATAACAATATTCTAATTAATAGGTAATAAACAATTTTGGTATTTCAAACAACTGTTGTCTTTTATTTTGCTGATAGCCCCTTTTTAATTAAATTGTCAATGCTTATTTGTAGTACTGTATATGATAATGCTTGAAGAGTAAAGATTTTTTATTGTTGCATGCATATTTTAGTAACAACTGAAACACCGATTTAACAATCAATGTAAAAAAAAGAAACATTGAAAATCAGACACCATATGCCATAGTTTAAAAAACAAAAAAAACATGTCAAATAAGGATTGGAAAAATGAACATGTGCTAAAAAAGCATCTGTTAGTAGCAATGGGTCAGTCATTTAAAGTTATGAAGTAGCACTGGTTTATTAAAATAAGACACAGTTTAGACTAATCATGTCACCAGAATCACTACTGTACGTCAAGACACATAGGCAAGCTGTAGCATGGCAAAGATACAGTACAGAGGACAAACGGGTGTTTACAAATGGCAGTGGAGATACGTAACCACTCAGCAGCCTGCTCTGCAGAGACCTGCCATTTTGCTTTACATCATTTTTCAGCTTTAATGGTGCTTTCAGAAGATGCTTTTCTTTTTCACCTACCAGAAAATGTCTATGCAAATTTGAGGTTGCCTAAATTACACATTGGCAATGTCTGCTGTTGCATTCAGCCATATTCTAGAACACCCTTGCAATTCGCTTGCATTAGAAAACAGCCTAGCTTTGAATTCCAGGACCAAGGAGCTAAGGAGGAGGATAAAAAGACTATAACAGTTGATAAACAGCATCAGAACATAATCAGTGAAAACACTTAGAAGCTACAGTTGTGCGACTCAATAGAACACAATGTCTTGACTTTATCTCTTGCTGCTGTTTTGTCATCCACTTCATTGGACTGCTCCAGTCACTGCCAAGGGCAAAGACTCCCAAATCAAAACACCCAAACATGTTTTTATAAAGGTAGCTGACATTTTACTAAACAAATTGTTAAAAATGGGGGGGGTTACAAAAATGGTAAAAATCAGAGATTGACCTGGCAGCTTAATCAATAAGTTAAATAAATGTTCATACTGTAACTCCCAACTGACGTAAGTGCATTTTCCAGAATATACCCGTGCAGTTCACATAATTAGAGGCACATGGATTCTTTGTCCTCTGGCACTGTTTTAGTGAGAGGTGTAATAATCCAGGAACACTTGGTTAAACAAATATTTATTACAATAGTAGGTAGTTGCATCAGCGTGTGTAGGCTGCAAAGGAACAGGTAAAGGTTAATTCCATGCTGAAATTGAAGACAAGAAACACAATGTTTCGGCTGTGGAGCCATCTTCAAGTGCCACTCGAAGCCAAAATGTTGTGTTTCTTTTGTTCTCTTTTCAGCATAGAATTAACCTTTAATTGTTCTGTATTTATTACAATGACAAGACACAAACCACACTACACACAACAAAACATACAGCACAGAAGTTACTCTTTGTAATCTCTTCTCCTTGTTGCCTGCTTTTCCTTGTTTCTTCCTCTCTGTGCTCTTAATGTGATCTTACTGTACATTGTGTGTGTCTGCAGTGCTCCTTGACAATCATTAATCCACAATTTACCTAGGTACAGTAAACTAAGGTAAGCTTTACAATTGTTTCCGCTCAAGGGATCCCCCTAGATATCAGCAGACATCGTCTCTGCTTTGAAGCTAGAAGTACTTACTCTTCTAAATGTCACAAACTATCTAAAATCTAAAACACACTTCTCAGTCACCTAAATTTGTAACAAAATAATATATATATATATATTGCTTCTAAGAGGTAAGCCAACATTTGTGTATATTTTTGGATTTCCACAGGATATGAAAAATGACAACTGGTACAAATTGACAGGATTGACAGTATTTTGCTCTACTTGAAAATGCATCTTTCTGAATTATAGCCAATAAAAATCCTAAATCTATCTTCTTAAAAAATAAGTAACTGTATTTTTAATTTCCAAAATTTATTTTGCTAAAATTTCAAATAACATTTAATGTAAAATTAGGTATCCATTTGACTGGATGAAGTTGTAAAGTGTGGATAATCTAGTCAGACACATTTGTTTTTATGATCTTTAATATTACATCACTAAAAGGAAATGGATTGGAATGTGATGCATGAGATAAATATTTTTCTCTTTCTTTGATATCCTGGGGGAAATTTAAAAATCAAATCTTTGAGAATTTCTGCTTAACTTCATCCCGTGTTTATCTTAGATCCCCTTGGAGCCTCCTGTGCAATATAAATGTAATTAGCTGTAAGGTTTTGTATCATACCGAGATATCCTCATGCTTTTTCAGGATGCTATTGCAGATATCACTAAGGATGATGTGTTTAGCTCTATTCGCATCAGAAGGACAACCTCTTTGCAAACGACAAGGGAAGCTGGTTGTTCCACATTTATTTAAGGAGAGTGACATTATGATTGGAGGGATATTTGCAATTCATAGTGACACACAGGAAAAAATATTTCCATTTAACATAGAACCAGATCCCCTGGAATGCAAAAGGTCAGTTTACAGTATGTTTTTTTTTTCCATTTAAATCACTTACAAGCTGTTGAAAAACAATTCCTTTAATAATTATTTTAAAATAATGATAACTTTTTTGTAGCTAAAAATATAACATCTTTTGTACGAGAAAAAAAAATTAAACACAAAACTTTTTTATCATTTACTTGGTCTTATTTGATATTATGTAGTCCACTCCAAACAACTAATCTGCACATTCTTTTTAAGTTTCAATTTTGCAGAATTCCAGTCAGTGCACACAATGATCTTTGCCATTGAAGAAGTAAATAACAGAACAGATCTTCTTCCTGGGATTTCCCTGGGTTACAAGATTTACGATTCTTGTGATTCCTTACCCTCTGCTGTAAGATCAGCCATGGCTTTAATGAATGGAAATGAGGAAACTCTCTCTGACACCTCCTGCTCCAGACCAGCTGCAGTTCAAGCTATAATAGGAGAGTCGGGATCTTCACCCACTATTGCAGTTTCAGCAGCAGTTGGACCTTTTCAAATCCCTGTGGTGAGTAAATACTTTCCATGTCTTTGTGGAAGTGATTACCACAAGCATAATGCATAACTGATGGTATTAGTGGCAATATGTGAGTTTATAGATAGAGTGTACATATTGTATAGTGCTTATTTATTTATACTTTTGTTTTCATTTCAGATTAGTCATTTTGCTACTTGTGCATGTCTGAGTAATCGAAGGAGATTTCCATCATTTTTCAGGACCATCCCCAGTGACTTTTATCAGAGCAGAGCTCTGGCTCAGCTTGTGAAGCACTTTGGATGGACCTGGGTTGGGGCTATAAGAACTGATAATGACTATGGTCACAATGGAATGGCTACATTTGTGGAAGCTGCACAGCAACAGGGGATTTGTATTGAGTATTCAGAAGTGATTCACCAAACGTATCACAGAGAGAAAATTCTGAAGGTTGTGGACATAATTAAAAGGAGTACTGCAAAGGTCATTGTAGCCTTTCTAGGTCAAGGTGACATGTCTGTTTTATTAAAAGAATTATTTATTCAGAACATAACTGGTATCCAATGGGTTGGCAGTGAAGCCTGGATAACTTCCAATAATCTGGCAACATATGAAGGCTGCAAGGTTCTTAGTGGATCTATTGGATTTGCAGTCATTAAAACCAGAATAAATGGGTTGAGAGAATTTTTACAGAATGTCCACCCATCTCAGGTTCCTGGCAATGCCCTCTTAAATGAGTTCTGGGAAACGGCATTCAACTGTTCTTTAGATATCAAAGATAATACAACACTTAGAAAGCCTTGCACAGGTTCTGAGAACTTAAATGAATTACATAATGCATTCATGGATGTATCGGAACTGAGAATATCTAACAATGTATATAAAGCCGTATATGCTATTGCATATTCTCTGCACAACCTGCTGGAATGTGAAATTGGTCCTGCTGCCAATTATAGCTGTGCCAGAAAATTGAATATTGAACCATGGCAGGTAAAGCAATAGCTGTATCTCACTATCCGTTAATCCTGTATAAATTATTTAAAAAGTTTATTTTTATTATATGAAACTGTTCTTTTCCACAGCTACTTGAGCATCTTCAGAAAGTCCATTTCACTACTAAAACTGGAGAGCAGGTCTCATTCGATGACAATGGAGACCCCCCTGCGAGATATGAATTAGTGAACTGGCAGGTTGTTAATGGGAGCACCGTACAGTTCATGACTGTCGGTTACTATGATGCTTCACTGCCAGCAGGACATCAGTTCGTCATGAACCAGGTCAAGATTGTTTGG